CCCCCTGTACTTATCGGTCTAGACTCTCCTCACATGCATGAGTCTTAAGTACTCCTCCGGGGCTTTGGCCCGGTCCTGGATGATCTTCCAACACTTTGCAGCTTCCTTTCCCCCTTGTGGCAATGTCTGAAGGTTAGAAGCTTCTAGGAAATACCTTGGTCTATACACTCAAGATATTGACAGTAAACGGCTGAGTATATTAAGCTTACCATACCACATTATAAAATGGTATAAAGGTATATGAAAGCATGATATATTCAGTCGTTTGAAAGTGATTTTAAGAATTTTATCATCACCAATTTGATAAACGACAGAATAGCATATATTCATTATTACTATTTAGTAATAATCAATACAATAATGTACAATTTTCTGAAATTTATATTGTCCACTTATTTTAAAGTGATTATTGCATCAAAATCACTATCCATATAATATAGATATTGAAATCAATCTTTTTCGTGACTAAAACCCACTGTCATTATAATAATCATTATGATTTTCATCATCAAAACAGATCTTCAAATTATTATTGGTGTCGACATTGATATGAAAATACCTGCCAAAGTTATTGATTACTTGAACCAGCCTACTTGTTCCGTCCATGTCTTCACTCTCTCTTAAGAATTAACATACATACTGAAATCAATCATAGGGGCAAACCCCTTACAATATCCATCTCCTTAATTGCAACTGCCCTAAGCCCCTCCCCTGTCCTTTAACTATAACCATCCCGCATCTTTTCTCCCTTGCGTGAGCTCCTACATCACCCGGTAGCTGCGGTACATTCTCTGTATGTTATCATTCAATTACGGGACAAACCATGTCTTGTATTGTCTCATGTTTACAACAGAAACGGCTTTGCTCTGAAACTGAAGACAAGAGTCATTCAATAAGATGCAAAATCTTGTTTTTCATCATCTCCAGCTTACCATCAGACTGACTGCTTCGCAATGTCCTTGAATTGGTCTCCATGTTGGATGTTGTGTTTTATTGTCTATTTTTAACAAAAATCAGATAGGGACTGGGTTGTAATATTGAACCACAATTATGCAATCCTTACTTTTTTGTTTTATCATATTTGTCTAAGTTCTTTAAAGCCATAAAGTCAATTTATTTCAGGAAAAACCAGTGTCATTTCTATTGTATGCATGTGTTGCATCTGCACACATTTAACCTTGTTAATCACATAACACTTGCTAACAGATAATACATCACTGACATTTTTAAGTCATTCTATTCTGTGATAATGTTTTTATATCATTATTTGCCATAAAAATACTAATGCAATGGATTATATTTCAATCAGTGAATAGAATAACCTTTTTGTCATCCAATTTGGAGTGGACTTTAAAGGTACTATGTCCCTTTTGCAGCCAACCTCAAATGCTGTAGAACTTTGCAGGAATTATGAATATGTCATGTATGTCCTATCTGTGAAATTTAAACGGTAGCAGTGTCCTCATATTCAAATTATGTAAGGAAAACCGTTTACTTGCTAGACTTCACTGTCAGACACTATTGAGTGACTGACTGGCTTTTTTTCTTCTTTGGTAATAACATACATGAAAAGAGTTGTAAAGGGTACATGAGCATTAGTCTACATCAATAACCCACTTCTTAAAGATTAAACTGATTGAATCTTTGTGCAGCATAAAACGTATGAACATTCGGTACAATTGTCTGAAAATCAAGACTATTACTTTGGGGCTCTATAGCCCTAAAGTCGATTTGACAACTAATAGTCGTTATTTTCCCACTTGAAGACATTTTCAAGCCCCACCTTTTTTAGGGAAGTACTAAATTAGTATTATCTTTCAAATGCAGTTGGAATTTAACTTTTTCATTTTTTTGGCCTGCAAATGGGACATAGTACCTTTAAAAGATTATTATTATCATTATGTTTTCCCAAGAAAATCATACACAGAGAGACTGGATTGTAATATAAATGAGCTTTCCTGGCAGCTTGAAATTCACCTGCCTCTGTTATTGCGTTTTGTGTGATTCCTAAACAGGTGATATATGTTTTGCAATCTCTATATGATGATATAATAAAGGACATCTTCATGAAAGGATTGTATTATCAATAATCATTAAAGTTATCTCATAGTGGTAATGATAGAGTTGTACCTTCTGATTTGTTTAAACACATTCATCAATGTAATTATAATCACTACTCTTTAGTAATACCAAGCTCCATTTCACTTATTAAAACATTAGTAAATAAGTAATTTTGTTTGAACTTTGTAAATAATATACATGTCGGGTTATTAATGTTCTTTTTCATTATAACAATTTATTGTCATCTGAAATTCAGAAAGTGAGAATATCAATGAACAAATTGCAGTAACTTGTGCATCAAAAAACCAAAAGCTTGGCATATATATATATATATATATGGACTTAAATTGGGTATCAATAATAGTAATTTGAAAAGTTATCGAAATATCATCATAACGATTCTACTCATTCACTTTGAATGCGACTAAATTGCACTATCCCTGCATAATGTGAGAACATTCTATGTTATAGAGGCATGTATGTACGTGCATCATATATTATCCAGCTCATGAATGCCGTCTCATTATGTAGTCTGAGAGAGTATACTTGCTCTTCAAATGCTAACACGAAGGGACCTGCACTACTCAAATACAGCTACTGATAGCCAAGTCACCACGTCATCGCATGCTTTTTATCGAGGATGCTCTCTCGTTTTCCCTGATGACATACTTTATATTTCACTTCGAACCTTCTTTCTTTACTATTCTCCTCAATTTCCTCTTTTCATTTTTCTTCTACTAACAACATAGCTCCTACTTTAAAGTGTCGTAATTCAATCCTTTTTGGCATTGCCTAATAATCAAATTCAGTCTATAGTTTTGTTCCATCAAAGGACTTGTTATTTGGAATACATTTGCTCCTATCATACAATCAAGTCTTTCAGAAATTAAAGAATCATTGAACCAGCAGTGACACTAGGTTTTATCTAGAATGCTCCTATAATTACAATGTACAGAAAATGGCAGATTTTTAACAATGATATTGGGTAAAGGGAAATACGTAAATGTCTGTCACTGACAAATTGAATGTATAAATCAAAGATCTTTTAGGATCAAAATAACTTCTTCCAACACTTGACTTATAATTTAGAGAAATCTGATAGGTATAACATTAAATGACTTCTCGTTTTCATACAGAAAGACAATTGATGTAACCCACTCTCACAGACATGCATACTGTGAACTGACATGACTTTTAACAAGAGATCACAGACGGTACGTGAAAAACTTTGTTTGCCTGATATGGCTCAAGGAGAATTATTGGCTTTAGCGAGTGATGAGTATTAAAAATTGTTAGGGATTATTATTGGCCTCTTTCTTCTCCTGACAGCAGGCTTTCAAGTGTCCTATCTACTACAAGTATCATCTATCTTACACTTTCTCATGTGCTAATGATGGTGATGAGTGTTATCACTGTTAAAGAACATCATCTGATACATTTCTGTCATCTCTAACTATAGCCTCCTAACCCTGCATGTCTGCTCAGACATGGAAAGTGAACCCATGTTTTTAACATGACAATATGTAATTTGGTAAGTAAGGTATTTTGTCTGTTACATCAACAACAACATCAATGTTGTCAGTATAAGCAATAATTATGTGGAGTTTGCAGGCATGCTACAGCTTGGATCAAACCAAAGAAAGGTTTAAGGTGACATTTTACTTTTGACTATTCTTAAATTTTTATTCTTTCCTTTCATTTTTGTTCCCTCTTATTCTTTAGTCTTGGTCACATATGAGAGGGCAAATGACCAAATACCTTAGATTTTCCCATCATAGTTACACTGGTAAACCTTTTTTCTTCTTCAATGTCTAGCTTTTTAAAGGAAGATCTGAAGGTTTCATGACATTTATGGATCTATTCCAATGTTGATTTGGTTGTAATTAGAGGATGGCAGACTGTAGTCTCATTCCACTTACTTCTCAACATCAGTAGACAAAACAACATCACAACAAATACAACACATGCATGGTTGGTTCCGGGGGTCGTCGACCTATAATCACTCCAGGCAAATAGCATTCAACCAATATTGATGGATAGCAGGAAATTACAAAATCATTAAAATCAATATTTCTAATGAAAACTCAATACACAATCAATCTCTGCTTAATTGCTGAGAGGAAAATATGTTACTGAGACCAAAAATATACATAAATCAAGATGGCCACACACAGGGTGACAATATTTCAGAGAGATCTGAAATTAAGAACTGTAATAAAAAACAAAAGATGAAATAGAAAGATAAGATGAAATTCTTTTATATTGCCAGATTGGGAGAAAGACATAATTAGAAGACAGCCTTTCAGCAGCAAAGTACCTGTTGAGTTAAGAAAGTTTGTCATCCTTTGACAAATAGAAGTATTTGAACATTTGGAATAAAGAATCAAATGCAATTTAATATTGATATAATAACAATATCGTCTTACAAACATTGTCTCATTTATTTGTATTTGTTATAAAAAAAAGTTATGTTTTAAAGAATGCATTTCAATCAGATTAAAGGTGAGTGTTTTATAAAAAAATCTTTGAATCATCTTTTATAAAAAATGTATGATTTGGAGACAAAATATTGATGTAAATGTATCTTACCATTTTAAGTTGAGAAGAAGCATCATGGAATATTATATCCAGAATCATGCAAACTTCATATCTTTTAAAATAATTGAATATGCACATTTCATTCATCTTTCCTTTGAATGGCAGCTGTTATCTTAAAAGGTTTTTTTTGCTTGAGTGATATTGAAGAATATATAATACATATGAATTATTCTCACCATTTTGTGAGCACGTTCTTCTCCTTTAAATTTAAAAAATTCTAATGTTTTTTTTTTAATATTAAAGAAAGGGAATACATCATCTATCACAGGACTAAAAGGTAAATGTGATTTCATATTCATATACTTTTCTTCATCATCGTTAGGCAAAAGAAGTTGTCTTACCTGGAATATGGCGATCCATGCGTAGAGTATATTGTCAAACGATATTGAACTTAAAAATGGGTTTTCGTCACTAATGGCACACTTTGTATAGTACTGATTCCAATTCACGCATTCCGATGAGTTTGCAACATAACTGTTGTCCGCATCTGGTAAAGCAGTCCCATTGCATATCAATCCGTCCAAACTATATAGAGGCTTGATCTCCGAGCATTGTCTCATGCCCTTGTCCGAGGGCAGACTGCAGACATAGTCCGTCCACGGCTCACTTTCGGTGTAAAATTGAGTGAGATTGGGATACCTGTGAAAAGATATAATAAGAATGTATCAAAGTCTGCTCAATATCGTATCATCAATATTAAATATGTAACAATGCATCTGGTCAATATACAGCATTGGAATTACATGTCCTCCACTCAAATTCCTATTTTAAATTAAAATTACAGTATTTACTCAAAATGCCCTTTTTTCCCCCTCTTAATGTCCTTTTTCGCCTCAAAATGCCCCTTTTCCCCCCTCTTAATGTCCTTTTTTTGCCTCAAATGCCCTTTTCTAATATTTAACAAAGAATTCATCCCTCAGAAGGATATTTTTAGTTTTCGGAAGCCTACAGGGATTTATTCACTGGTCCTAGGAAAAAATTCTTCTTATTGTCCAGGACAGGTTGAATGTTAGACAAGCCATTTCCTTCTTATGAACCTGACCCACTTTATTACATAGAAAAAGTACTCATATCAAACATATATTTTTGGTGCATATTTGATATAAATTCTTTTTATGTTTCCTTCATATAATAAACACTGCACCAAGGTTATCACTTGATATGGAAAGTCAAATTCAATTTGCATTGTCTATATTTACGTATGCCTGACGTCAATGCAATTTGACACTGTCGTAAAATGCTGTAGGTCCGTAATTCCCTGGAAACTAATGCACACTCGTCACTTCATCTTTTGAAGGTATACACCATCATTTCAATAAAACAGCAATCAGAAAATACATTTGTAAAATCAGGAAACACTTAGGTGAGATTGTGTTGTGTAGCATGGTCTTCTCTTAGTACAGCCCTACATACAAACATATTTTTCAAGCGTACAGTATAACATGGGTTTCCATAGTGCAACATCCACTCAAAGAATATTAAAACAGACTTGAAAAGATGTTTTGTTCATTTATTTACAGTATTTTGCATATATTCATGTAGTCTTATGAGTTGATCATATACAATGCTTCTTATCCAATTTAATTATACCCAGTGAAAAATGACGGTTTTTTGTTATAAGCTAGTAAAACCCTTGATTCTGATTGGTTATCAGCAGATTTGTCGTTGATTTTTGTCATTTGTCATTGAAAAAGGCTTACAGTGAAACGGGGCCCTGGAGAGTAGTCTGACAATATTCTGATATTGATATCTTTACAAATTGGTTTTGAGAGTAAAGACCATTTATATCTATTTGGTTATTGATTTGATATGTTTAATGTGTTTTTTTTTTACATTGGTCTGTATAGATTGATAATACACAAACATGTAGCTCATATTTCCTACATCAAATTAAGGTCTCATATGTCTAAAAGCTTTTGAGAATGAATCAGACAAATATGGTTAATCATAAATTTGTGAGGCATATTGTTACGAATATTAACTTATGTTAATCATATTCATAATTATGTAAATGTATGCACATGCACATTCACTTTGAGTTGATTATTACAAGATTCATTAATCCACAACATTCATAGGTCAAACTTAGTTGTTTTTGGTTAGTATTTTGCTGTTTGAGTATTTTGTGTGTTTGCGTGAGATAGGAGGGATAATCGGTCAAAAATGTAGAACCCTCACGTTGTAATATTAAACATCCATCTAATTCAAATCCTCTTACACACTGAGTGCATGGGTACTCTAGAAATAGCTGATTTACATCTAACCTCATTGTATCAGAGTGAGATTGATTAATTCATCTTGTTTTGAGGTGCAGGTGCTTTGAGTACCCTAACAACTGTTTCCATTAAGTTCACATTAAGATGTGTCCTTCAGATTCTTTGCATGACAGACAGTGTATGTGCTAGTCAGATTGAAGACGGAGGAGAGAGTCCTCGTGTAATGAGTAGGATCTGTTTAGTTGCTACCTAGCATGTTTTCATTCCCTTCAGTCAAATAAAAGTTGTTGTAAAAGATGATTTGAAGGAAATAGATTGTGAATTGTAATTCCACTCCTCTAGAACTGGGAATATATTTTTAAATTTCATTTCAATATAATGAGCAGAAACACTGTATATTTGATTTAGATACCCCAAAATTTTTGCTCAAAATCTGGCTTAAACTCTGAGGCCGTGCAAGACTAAGAATACATTATCATAATATTCGGTTCATGCCTAAGGCTTGATAACTGTTTTGTTTTATGAGGTTTCTTTTTCATCTAAAATAAATAGGTATTCTATGTGATCTCAATTAATAGAATAAACAAAGAAGTTAATCACTACCTGCTTTGAACTTCACATTAAAAAAAAAAACATTGTTAAAGTTCAGTCAGAGCACTACAGACAGAAATATCCAGGTTTAACGAAATTAAAATGTTTTTTACTATTTAGAATACTTCAAATCCTTATGAGATAATTTTGTCTTCTCATGTTTTTCTTCATTATAGATACATGCCATGTTGGATAGCAAACAGATTGAGACATTGAATTACTGTGTTTAGTACATTTGCCTGTTGAGAGATATGTGGCAAGAAACCAAGTTCTCTCTTGGATCACTGACGTCTTGTCAGAAAAATGAAAATATTACGTCAAAGCATGCATAAAACGCCAGCAAGCCCACATGCCAACAACGCTTCAATAGATGCTTTTGATGTAATAATAGATTTGGATTACGCTAGCTTCCTATTGAGCGCAGGGGAAATGCAGCTGTGTGCGCTATTCTACCGGTAGCGCGGTACATTGTACCCCTCTACCAGGACCAGACTCCCCACTGTTTTAAGCATGTTAACATGATGTGCCGACCAGACAGCCGAACAGTGGCAAGCCAAGTGTGAAACTTCGCCCTACAAATCTGATTTTAAGGACCGTGTTTCTAGGTCACCTACAATATCAGATGGGACAAGGCTGTGTCTTAACAAGGTTATTTGCTAAACGAGATGTTACATGCATGACTTGAATCACAAGAGACAGTTTTTTAGAAATAGGACAAAGCGTATCACTCTGATACATTTGTTTAAAGAAAATCTTTAGGGGAAAGCAGCCTTCAATTTTCCAAAACAGGTAGGAGCTAGGTGGGTTAATGAAGAGAAAATAGAAAGCAGATTTTTTTTTCCCCTGCAGTATGATGTAGTTGTAGCAGGTGTTGAAACCCAAGGGTCGAAGTGATTAACCTTACCTTTTCCCTCCCTAGAAAAAGTGACAAAGAGGAATAAAGCAAAATCTGAGATGTACAGCCCTACAATATGTTTATCAGTGTCTGTGATATGGTGTAAAATTGAAGCCCTAAAAAAAAAATCACGTTTCAAAATGATCAAGAAGTGCCTTAAAAAGTAAAAATCTTTGAGTGACCGTTTTTACCATACTCGTTTTCCCCAATAGACTGTAGTGTTATGAAAACCGTTAGGCAAATGCAAAATTTGGTTTTGATTTCCAATCATAAATATCTTGACAATCAGACAGGCGATCGGCTTGTAAAATTCATGGGGTTCCTGACTGACCTAAAGGTTTATAATTATCATTGCAGCATGAGCTAAATCCAGGATTTTGTTTCAGAATCTGAGACAAAGTTACCGGATCCCTTTAAGAGAATGACAAGCGCCCTCTCTTTGAGACTTACCCATCCCCTACAGTGACAGTGACATTGAGGTCTAGGAAGCATCTGTTTCTAAGGAGACCCTTCCATAGTTGTACCCCGATGATCCCGAATATGAAGAAGACGAAGAAGCAGAGCATGAGAACATTCCCCAGCATGGGCAGTGTATCTAGCAGTAACATCACTAAAATGCGCAGACCTGCAATGGAGAAAAGAGGGAAAAAGAAATCACATCAAAATCTATACTCCATCGAGATGTATACAGAGATGTACAAGTATATAATAACCTCATGGAGATTAAATCAGCTCTCTAGTGTGCAAATGATTAAGGAAAAATTACCAGTAATTATGGGCTCCCATTAGCACATTAGTACATTCATAGATTATGGTAGATTAAAACTCATATTTTGAATGAGTACTTGCGGTCATATACATGTATAAGCCACATACAAAATCGACAATAAAACTGTTTAATATCAAATCTTGAAAACAACATTACCTCAAATTAAGACATCTACAGTAACAATAGACAATAGTAAAGTAAAATTTGTTACACTGTAAATATTTAATATCCTGAACTTCATGTATATGAAAAACTCTTTTACAATATAACCAGCTATATGAACACACACTTAATTAGAAGATTGCTCTCATATTGGTAGTCAGAGCCACATGTATCTATTAGCTTCATGTAGCCACTGGAATCATACACTCAAGTCCCCCCCCCCCCCCCCCCCCCTCTGTCTCTCTCTCCCTCTTCCTCTTCCTCCCCCTCTCTCTCATTCTCTCCCTCCCTCCCTCTTCCTCTTTCTCCCTCCCTCTCTCTCATTCTCTCCTCTCCTCTCTCATTCTCTCCCTCCCTCTTTCCCCCTCCCCTCTCTCTCCCCCTGCCAGTCCTTAGGGTTGACCAAGGCTAGGGTTAGCTTACAAGGGATTAATGCCCCACAGTGACCACTACTCTGTGATACCACTTCACATCCATCCTATCAACACACCATCTCATGAGTCAAGTGTTGTACTGAATTCAAGGACTATCCACCAGACTCTAATCTTCCAATCCTGACTGACATCCAACTAATAGACGATTCATAGCTAGAGGAGAGATATCCTGAAATCGATATCTAAATCCAAGATGGGTTTTTGGATGATAGTATGTTTGTTCCTTTTCCTAATTTGTTTTTCCATTCTGATAGATACCTTATTGATTTGTAATGTTTTGTTGGAAACATGAATAAATTTAAAATCTTGAAATCTTGAAATCTTGAATCTCCCTGTTTTTCCATCGTCTTCCCAAATTTCCATTGTCTGAAAATCGTTCGTACGGTGTTCGTAGCAGTTCGTAATGGCATTTGTGATCGAGGCTTTAGTTACCTCATTCATAACATATTATTTCAACATGATACTTCCTGTATCAACATCCGTTTAGAGCCAGAAGGGCATTAACTCTGTGTGTTCAAGTATATGGGTTAGCGCCCTTCTTGCTCTAAGCAGCTAATATACCAATTCAAAGTTCACCAAAATAGTAGGTCTAATGGACAAGAAAGACAGACTAAATCTGTTGAAAGACAGAAGGGTGTTAAATCTTTGTCAAAGTATAGGAGTTAATGTCTTCTGGCTCTCAACAGAATGAAGATTTGTCAGTTTAGAGAGAACAGAGAATCGAGAATCAGCATATAAGAATTAACGTTCTTAAACGCAATTCAAAAGCAACAGTTTAATATCTAAGGTAGATCAATTAAATTCAGCACATACAAATTAACGGTCTTATACAAAATTAAAAATCAACAGTTTCATATCTAAGGTAGATCAATAATGTTTTATTTTTGTATATTTTGTTTTCCTTTTCAAAAGGTTAGCATCAATTTTGTTTCCAAGTTAATTGTTTCATATCTTTATTAGACAGCATTGAACCATACTTTAAGTTGAGTAATTGAAAACAAATTAAAATCCTAGAATCTCATTAATGTTCAGACTCTTATGTACTGATTGTGATCAGCTTATAATTACTTTACATCTTCCTTAGATTACACCTTTTGCATAGAATACTATACATCAAGAGAATATATGTCTATGGTGGTAGAGTCAACTTTGTTTTATGATAGGCTCTTAAACATTTATGTTTCTCACACACAGGGGCATTATTCAAGTGCGAAAAAAACAATCTACAGATCTGAATTGAACAAGGTGAAGGATTCCTTCAATTGCTCAAACTCTTCTGCTATTGTGTCTTTACACATATCCTGTATATAGTAGTATACACATGCTCAGTCGTCCTCTTGCCATATCATGCAAAGCCTACAAAAACATCTGCATTCTTCATATTATAAAAGATAGAGTCCATTTCAATTGTAGGATTTTTTTTCTCATTTTAGAAGAGACATCTTCAGTAAAACCTGCACAATTACACCAGTCCATTCCTTCATTCAACCTGTCGGGTTAAGTCGCAGAAAGTAGACCAAATCATATGGTACTCATGAATGGAGAATACACCTCATAACTACCACATCAGCATCATGTAATGCAGCCCGGTGAATGTCATCTTGTATTTTCAGGAAACACAGACCATAAAGGGACGTACATGCACTACAAGAATAACATGTCGTCGGGGAGCAGGTGAACAGACTTAATGAATGGGTCTTAAAGATGAAGTTGAGTTCTGGTCATGCGATTACATTGTGAAAGAAACGGTGTGAAATCGACCAGAAAAGGTTGTTCATCTAGCATATAAAAATTTGTGTGTATTGCAAGGTTCTGGAATCATCAAAATGATAAGAAATTTGGCCAAGTCTTGGTAAAGTTACAAACACTGTACACAGAAAGATGTATATGGGACTACACGGACACGTGGCGTAAAAACCTACCCCCGAGTTTTACGAGTTACATGACATATTTAGAATATAAAGGCATTTGAAGAGCCATGCTTTTCAGGGAACATGTCTTATCTGATGTTCTTCCACACTTGCATAATAAGAATGATAACGCTCACAAATTATTTTTCATCTCTTCCCAGAACTCAACCTTCTCTTTAAGGTCAGCCTGGTCAGGAGTGGGTGTGTGTTTCATAAGGTAACACCTTAGCACCTCTCTTCCACATTTACACCCATTAAAGCACCATGAAAGAGGGTACATTATGTAGAGAAGCGAGTAAGAATGAGCTAGGCAGTAGACAGGTGAATGCATATCATTAGCGATGCTCATTACATCGTCACACCGCTGCATGTGCCAGTCCAGGGTAATATTCATTTTGCGCCGATGCAAAGCTCATTTTGTTTTCTGTTCCTTTGAAGCATTGTGCTTCGACGGCTGCAGGGAATGGCATTGGTGCAGTGACGTGCTAAATTTCTTACCTGCCCTGTGCTTAGTCTAATATGTGCACCTGCTTTTTAACTCACTGTATTCATAATTAGGTATATAGCACACAAATTAAACATCACATATTGTCGCTTCCTTTTTCCTAACTCATTATATTCATAACTAGGTGTATGGCACACCATTTATACATCACATATTCATGCTTCCTTTTCCGAACTCATTATATTCAAAACTATATAGAACATCATTTAGAAATCACATATTAGTGCATCCCTTCTGTCAATATATTCATAACTATATAGCACACCATTTATACATCACATATTGTTGCTTCCTTTTCCTAAGTTATTATATTCATAACTATATAGAACACTCTTTATACAATTTACATATTGCTGCTTCCCCTTCTTACTCATTATAGTCATAACTATATAAATAGCAGACAATATATACATTACATATTCCTTCTTTCCCCCTGTAACTCATTACTCATTGCTTCACAATGTAAGGCGCAGACGAAATATCAAAATCAAAATTAACAAACATTGCATTGTATGCATAATATGTATGAGTAACTGCAGGAGAACTTTAGATCATGTCGCTCACATGGCAAGGATGAAGTCATACTTTTCGGTCACAAAACCCAAGCTGTGATTGGATATACCTGGACAGACCTGCACATGAGATTCTACCAAACTTACGGATGAATCATGGAGCATGATAATTCATAGTTCAAAGGCTGGGGAATGGACTTTGTACGATAAACTTGGTGATTTTCAATTGAAGACCGTCAGACGTGAAATTAACATTTGGACGGGCTTGAAAAGTAATGCGTCTCTCGAAAGCATGATCTTTCTAGCCCAGCTTCTATCAGTTCAAAGTACTTCTGTCAATAATAATAATAATAATAATAATACATGAGATTTATATAGCGCCATTATCCATTTTGATTAAATGCTCAAGGCGCTTCAAAATATAAGGGAACACATTACATCATGACAAAGAATCGTGTACATTTACATAAGAAAGAAAATGCAAAAATGAAAGAATGAAAGAATGAATGTCTGTCTTCAAAACGCAAAATTAAACAAATGGGATTTAAGGTTGCTCTTAAAAGATGTTGAAGAGTCGGAGTTCTTCAGCTCCTGTGGAAGTGAATTCCACAGGGCTGGTCCGGCATGAGCAAAAGCTCGTTCCCCCCAAGATTTCTTTGAAAGCGGTATGTGTAGAAGACCAGAGTTGGAAGATCGGAGGGTACGTGTGGGTTGGTAGAGGTGAACTAAAGACTGGTTGTATTCAGGAGCTGTTCTGTTCATGATTTGATGAACTAAAAGGAGGATTTTGAAAATTATACGTAACCTGTTATAGATAGTCTAATGCAACTGGTCTTACTGAACATACTGTAGTTAACTACTGCCTCACAGGAGCTGTATGGAGAACCACCAGTCTACGTTTAAACAAAGATTTGATAGAAAATTAAACCAATTACCTCAAGCCATCACAAACTAAAATCATTCTACTTAACATATGATTATGTTTAAAAATTGCTAATCATACATCTAATCAAAGGTGATTTTTCACTCATTCTCAGTGGTAAATTCAGAGACTCAAAAACAAGGGGACAAATTGAACCCAAGCTGCCTTAAGAAGCAAACTGTAGAGGGACTAGGGGTATGCTCCCACAAAAAATGGAATATCAGAGGCATTTTGCCTGCGATTCTACAAAAACACACATTTTTAAGTTGTGATGCTTTTGTGGGTGCTATGATTGGGGGGAGGGGGCGGGAATGGATATATTTCTCTGCCTTATGATGGATATGCAAGCGCAATCCCACTGACTCATCACGTAAAACTTTGACTTCATGTGGAAGGGATGTGAATACATACATAAGATGACACATATTCATGTCAGAAAACAAAACATCGTTAATTAAAACAATCTGCTACATCAGAGTCTGGTAATACTTCCGCTTTGCGGACAGCTTCTTGGCTCCCTTTTCAATACACAACTTTAACAAACTTTACAACATCTTTCAACAGTACACAGACATGAAAGAAACAATTATCTATAAATAACTAATGATTCTATGAATGTGTAATGAATCAACTGAAAACCACCTCGTTAATTCACTTTCTCTTTATACACATCCCACTCCTGCCACCGATGCTTCCTGCCAGGAATATATACAGTGATATATCATTTATTATCACCCTGTATTCCATGTTGAGACAACTCCACAGGGAATATGATTACCAATTATCCTCTTTCCTGTCACATACAGTACAATGACATAAGAGCAGTTAGTTATTCCAGAATTTGGGGCACTTTCAGAAAAGCGCCAATAGTCGTGTACCGGTACATTAGTCACGTACACGAGTGCATTGTCCAATAGAAATTCATGAATATATGCTGATGATCTCATTATTTCTGGAAGCTGTACAAAGGGGCAGTGACATTACACAGAGGATCTTGCATGGTGACTTTTTTTACATCCATGTAAAAGAATACAGTTCCTGCCTCTCAATTTCAGGGAATATAAGATTAAGCAGGTGTAGTAGAAAGATCCCCTTTCAAAAGAAATGGATTGCCAGATGGTTATTAACCTGTTTTTTCTAGCTTAGTCAGTTTTGACAAAAGATTGATATTCTTAAAGGTAGTACCTAATGTCAGCCTTCCTTGTTGTATTTACTTTTTTATTGTGCATGTGATAATTTTACACTTTGATTTCATATATTCCAGGAAACATAAACATACAGGCATTTTATATTTATTCTTCTCCCTAACTTCTACCGATTGCACAATTGTGATTCTTGACAGAACCCCCATTGAAATTTACTAATGGCATTTGAAACCATTTAAACCAAATATGCCTACTTTTAAAGAAAATAAATCAACACTCTAATGACTTGAATACTTGGAATATTTCCACAAGATGAACTATATTTAAGACATATAAATAATGGATGGCTGTCATGTGCCGAATTAAACCGGAAATGGCACTGTGATGTAGTTCAAGATTCCTAGATGGTAAAGATAAAGGGAACAAAATGAAGGCAGGCTCTTGACTTAACCCATTTCCTACTGGAACCTGGTGGCTCCTGTATTAAGCCTATGTGAATGTGAGAATCCAGCAGTCAACCGGTTAAGTGTGTAACTTACTTGGAATCCTATTAATAGCCCTGAGCGGCCGGAGCACTCGTATCGTCCTGATCGCCGATAAGCTCACATTCTCTAGATTCAGGCTGTACTCCAGAATACTGTTACCATCATGAAATAATGGTAGAAAGAAAAGAATGGAAAGAAATTATTAAACATCAACAGATACATCATTTTGTCTCCTTCAAGCTCTGTTCAATAAAATTGAGACAACATCATTCAAAAGTAATGATCTCAAGCAGACAGGCATTGTTAATGGTCGGTACAAATTATCATAGAATTTTAACAAATTAAAATGATTAATACATAGCATGTGCATATCTCAGTTTACCTCAAGTTGGCTACAATGTTTTGTCAACATGGACACTTTTCATTAAAATAAAAGTATGATAACAGATTCTATTTAACATCTAGCAGAAAATACAATCGTCTTAAACTAGAAGAACCAAGGCTCAAATGCATCAATATTATCAATTTTGTGAATGTAACCTTTTTTTTTTACCTTCCTGTTATTTAATTAAGTCTAAACTAGCTCTGAACTACCCATAAAACCTCTTTAATTCTAAAATGATTCTCAAGTACTACTTGAACTAGTTTATAGGCATCTATCATTTTACTATGTACATAACACAGATACTGGCATATTCTGAAATGTCCCCTTTTCAGTGGGTCTCTTCAGCTGTGCTGTACAAATTTGTGGTGGAAATGAATACGTCATTTCTATTCTAATACGCTCAGATTTTTTGCTAGACAATAAACATACTCCATCATTTGTCACAAATGAAATACAAATTGTAATAAACAATAATGCCCCTCTCCACTTGTATGACAACCAAATCTGACATGCCCTAAAACATCCTAACATATCAAATTCCTTGAATATAACCGCATAAAAAGGGTAGTAAAGGTAGAGGGCTTTTTTTTCTTCAAGATGCCATCTCCTTTCATTAAGCTACTGGCAGTAAGCATCTCACGTCATCCCGCATCATTGCGTATAGTGCACATCTCACTTTCAACAGACTGCCAAATTTGATCAGATTACTTTGGTAACGATGCGCTGGGACCAGCAGGGAAAGTGGTAGTAGATTGCGTTACCGTGGCAACCCGACAATGTACATCTGATCGGGTCTAGATGAAAGCCGGCCGAATCAAGTTTTGGCCCGTCAGACCTGATTAACTGATTCACTTCATATTACATGTATATCATCGATGGAGGGAGAAGATAATAAGGTTTGATTGGTAATAATTGATTCAATTTTTTATGGTCATTTCCATCTATATCATACATCTTCTTTATCTACTTTAGTCCCATGTGCATGTATGCATGTTGCAAACTAAGTATTTGTCAAGTTATTTTGTGTATTATCTCTGAATAGGATATGCACTTTCTCTCTCTTGGATAAAACAGTGGTCACTTATCACTTCCCTTTTGATGAGGAAAACATGGCTAAGAGAATAAAGAGACACTTGTCTAATTAACATCAGGGAGTGGAGAATGTGCATGCATTGTGTGCGGGTAAGCCTGAATTCAATGACCAGGGTAATGATATATATATCTGTAAAGCGCTTTGAGAGAGCCTTCGGTCCTGAAAAGCGCTATATAAGAACTAGCTATTATTATTATTATTATTAATTCAAATGATATTATTTTTATTTCTTTATTTTATCCCCATTAGTGCCAACTATCCATTTTTTCCACTAAGTTACAGAAAAATAATTGTGAATATGTCTTAACATTTGGCAATCACATATTTCATCAAATCTCATTTCCGCTGAACGTTTCAACAAAGGCGAGACTGAAAACCATGTAAGATTAAAATTTCAAATCCCTCACTTTGCCATATGGACAATTTTTCACCCTCTAAAAAGGGCCTTGCCTCTCTGTAAACATCAGGTGACATTTACATTTGCCACCATTCAATATCTGTTGAAATGATTTTAGCGCCAGCTAAAACGCATTTAGCAGATCAGGTGTAAACATTGGTTATTCTCCCGTGTACCTCCAATAAACAACTTGGAGTGTTAACAGATATTAGGCAGAGAAAATTACATCTTGCATGCCTAAATGTGGAAATCTTCAGGTATTTATTTTTAGGTGATTTAGAAAAATTCTTTCATTTATGTCCCTAACGGCAAGAAAAAATTGTACTTTATAAGGCAGAATCGTGTGTTTAAATCGTCCTTGTTTTCACGAAGTGACGGTAGTGAGGAAAATCGTAACGCAAAGTGAATGCAATTTTTTTTCACTACCGTCACTTCGTGAAAACAGCGACGAAATGTCAAATCTCTTTAGACTTCTGATTTTCAGTTTCTGATCAATATGTCTTTGCTAAAATGCACAAAACCTAAGAATCAACTTTTGTATATAATAAAGATGCAAATGAGCTTGGTTCTATGATGTGTTTTATCCAGTTTAGAAATTTTTGTATTGTCTATGGATTCTTTTCCATCACAAAGGGTTTTGGCATTCGACCAAAGAGAAAATTACTGTCAGCACTTAGGAAGCAGCCTAAACAAATATACCGGTAGCTTAACATGACAAAAGCCCTTAAACATGATATATACTTTTTCAATATGTTATAGCATACAGATATTTGAAACATACACCACTTTGGTCATTTCATTTTGCAAGATATTTTTTTCTTTGAGTCTGAAAGAGGCATAACACTGACAAAACTATTACTACTACTGACGGGGATCTCTACATTCCTACCATAACTGAGAAGAATATTTCATAATCAAGTTATAGTGATGTCACTGTAACTGGTGATGTGTTCCATTCCGCTATGGCTGTAAAATTGGTGTTGAGCTGGTACTATTTCACTTTGTCCAAATCAAAATAATTCTGCCAACAGCTCTCTTGATACTGTAATTTTTCTTTTTGTACCAATAATGCCATCTAAAGCCATAAATAACATTGAGTAAGGATCATGTCTATAATATAAAGACATATTAACATCTAGCAATAAATAAATTCAAGTAATCCCATTCAAATGTTCTTGACACAACAGACAATGAGGCAGGAAAATATTGTCATTGTCATTATTACAAGTCATTAAAACATTATTGTTATGGGAAAAAGGAAAATGAAATGGATTCGTCATTTACTTGTTAAATTTATTCATTAGTTTTACTTTAGTACCAGGTAGAAAAATGTGATAATTCATGGATTTTTTTACATGCTAGATGTAAGGACTTAATTGATGCCCCATAAATCAGAGCCTCATACAACTTTTTAATCTTTTACATGGAATACTTTAAATTTAAGTGTCTATTCTTGTCAGCTTGTTTTACCAATACAGAAATAAAGAATTACACAACAATGAAATTTTGTTATCAGAAAACACATTAGATCTTGCTTATTGAAAACAACTTATCTGCTCTGCATAACAGGCACATAATCATGATGGGTTGTCCAATGAAAACAGAACTGGAATTAATCATGTTTAGCTATATGAGTATTGTCATCCACCACAGATGACACGTCTTGTAGAAAAGCATCTTCAAATTAAGATTCTCCAAACTTCCATTGCTGTAGTCCAAACTTGCCAAAAAATGGTTGACTGATGCAGTTTGCAATGAATCTCTTCTCGTTGCGTCCTTAGAGCCAGAATAGTATCGACTTTAAAAATCATTCAAAAAGACTGAACACCTTTCTGGCTCTCAACAGTTTGTGCTCTTCTTTGAATAATCAAATCAATTACATGACACAATCAACCATAGATGGATCAATACATAACCAGATTAAAAAGTCTCCCGCATATGGAGCTAATTTGGAAAGACATTGTTGAACTCTTGACAACATCAATATCAAACTTGAATGATTGGTCGACAGAATGGCCTGGCACATCACTTTAACTACCATGCAAAAATACATCATCACAGCATCTACAACATCATGCATTCACAGAAGCGACTATTACTACATCTATACACAACACAAAATAAACAAATCCACGAAATCACAGAGGAAGGGGTAAACAATAGCACTATCACTTTTACCAACTAATCATGGTAGAATAAAAATCATGGTCCTTTAGTTTCTGATGACAGTAACTGAATAAGATTCATGATTATTCAAATGATGAAAGTAACTGAATAATTGTGCATTTTGAATTATATTTACATGGGAGAGATAATTCTTGAAGTGTAATTTTTTTACTAAACACAACCAAATTGACTTCCAAGGAACCAACTCAAGGGACATGTTAATACCCTATTCTAATACCCTGTTGTAATGCCTGTAGGAATAAAGTAAGGATCATGTAATATGTTCATTAATGAAATTGCCCAAAATTTCTTCTTTGCGATTGTGTTAGGTTGTTAAGGAAAAATTTGTCCATTTGTGTTCATGTATTGGTTTATTAATCTAATCTAATCTCTAAAAGTATACCTTTGGGGAAAATACCTGAATGAAAAGTTGATTAAAAATATACAATTCTTATTGGACATCTTGATTTTACAATTTTCTGATGTACACTTTGCCATAGCAATAACAAAGTTTGATAAGTTTGATAATACCTTTAATTTGGACCGTGCTTAATAAAAGCAAGAACAATGTGGTACAAAGCCAAAGTCAATACTTCAAGCAAAGATACATTTATACGGATGGAGACAGCAATGGACAGACAAAGTCACAGTTTTACCAGATGTGCAATTAGCAGCCACTGGAAAGAGCACATTCTTGCACTTTCATTATTAAGGATAATTGATTGCAATCTGCATGCAGTAGAATAATTGCTTTTAAAAAAGAAATCACATTCGCAAGCACAATCAATGCATGAAATGAGATACAGTCATAGCAATAACTCTGTAATACACTTGTCACATGTCACATGCAATTTAATCAATAGCACTCGTTGGTTCATCCATTTGTATAATCATATTTGTAAATTTGATGAAAGGTACCATGCAGGCGGTATGTCGTTGTCGAAATTTACACAAATCTGAAAAATATTGTTATAAGGATTTTCTTCAATATTATAAGCAGAAGCTTTGTTGTATTCATTCTGTATGGACACTTTTTGAAGTACGGAGAATACTTTGGGACTTACTAAATTGAGATACTGAAAGTACTGGTGATGATGAGGAGGAGGATGAT